CCCCAAAACCCCAAAACCCCGATCACATATGATTATAGAAAGATAGAAACTAATTAAAATAATATTGAAGATAAATTGATTTGTAAATTAATATAATTAAAAGGGTCTATTCGAAATGGAATACCAAATGAATAGAGATTTGAAATACTACTTGTTTTTCTCTTTGAATGAGGCACTCTTTGCATCATATACCATCCTAGTAGTTCTTATTCTCAAAGAATTAAAGTTTAAAATTGACAGGTCTAGTTTAATACTAATTATTCTATTTGAATTGGGATTTATGATCAAAGGAATTTATTGGTTTGTTGATGTTGCTGTGACATTTTCACACTAATTTGATTATATGATATTTCTTAGTGAGATAGCAGATTTTTCTATAGTCATTCTGTTTATCTATTTTGCATTTGAAATGAGGCTGATTTATATAGTGTTCTAAGTTGAGAAAATTATGGGATTCAGATAAAGGTAAATTAAAGCAGTGTAACTTTGAAATATATACTATGCTCTGGTTTCTATTCTTTTCTTGATTCAGATTGGGATATCAAGTCAGATTTTATTTAATGATACTCCATAAAATTTGAGCTCCTCATCAACCATAGTTCTTATGATAGTTAAAATCTTGTGATTTATAACTGATAGCTTCATCATCTTAATGATCGGATATTACTTTAGATTCTTAGTTATACAGAAAAAGTTAAAACTAGAGAGTTAAGGCCAATCATTAACGAGATTTAATATCTTTATGATTTTTTGGACATACTTGTTGCTATTCGTTGGATTTTTATAAGTACTACACAAGGCCTATCTTGAATCAACAATATTGCTAGAAAGAAATGATCTGTATATTTTGGCATTGCAGATAAGATATTTCGTTTAAGATCCAATAATAAGAATGCTTTTGGGAACTACTATACTTTACTTATTTTATCACATGGCAAGATAATCAAATAAAAAGCGTTAATAAAGAAATGCAGTAGGTTCACCCACTAGCAAGGATGATTCAAGGCGTAATTACGGTACAATGAGTATTATAGAAATTCTCTAAAAGAATACCCTAAGTAAAACCAACAGCAGTCTAAACGGAGAGGGGAATTAAGTAGTCGAAGTAAGTGTCTCTTTCTTTTCAAAGAGTGCTAGAATTCAAATGGCTATGATTGATATGAATAGAAATTCAGACTCCTTAGATTAATCAATTGACTCGGAAAGATCTGAGCTCACATAATTTCAATCCTTTATAATAGAGTAAATGGCAATGTTTCGAAAGAAAGAATTTTAAAGGTAGAGAGCTAATGAAGGCTTAGATAGTGTTAAATTTTAATAGAACACATCACCACTCTTATGATCCTATTTTTCAAAATTAACTTAAATTTATATCTATTTATTTATAAATATCTCTTCATAAAATATTTACTGACATATCTCAAGGGGTTTTGGGGTTTTGGGG